CTTAGACGCTAATCCTACTCTTAGGTGTACTCTTGGGTTTTTGAAGTGAGTTAGTGCGGACTTATTGTTTGTTGGTTGCTACCATAGTTAATTCGGGTTCCGTATCGCATAATTAAAGATGGGTAAAACTCTAGACAGCCATAGGTCAGAGCATCGCACGAGTATTTGCTCTTTCTCAGTAGATATATGTAGCTGCCATCCGTGTTCCAGAATATTGCTCACGCTATGTCGCACTGCTCTGGATGTTCCAACAGGGGGCAAAGTATAAAAAAACGGCACTATAAGGGAGATAGACTAGTGCTCTGTCTCTCGCGAGCGCTCGCCGCATTCGGATAGATAATACACGAAGGTCCATGGACCTTCTATATAGGTAGACGAGGCGAGACGCACGGCGCCCTCGAGACTATCCACTTATGGTCGATCAAGGACAACGCTATCACATCAACGTACGGAGGAATGTGTAGCTCTGATGTCCTGGCTACAGATAATATTCTCGGCTACAAGCGAACGGGGGTGGAATTGGATAGTATTTTCGAAAATAGCACGGCGTCGGAGGTGGTAACGAAGGCACTTGTCAGATTGATCCGTTTAAACCTTTAACTCGTGAAAATAAAGAGGAACTTACGGTCATTTTGGGGTTTCGATAATACTGATTCCGTCCTCATCTCCGATTACTTTACGAATACACTTTGAAGCCCCATTAAAACATTTACAACTTATAAACATTTATTACTAGCAGTCGCCGAAGTAAACGCATTCGAAGGGAGTCCCCATAGGAATAGAAGCCACACACTATATCGAACCGCCATCACAACACTACAAGTCCTCGAGAGAAATCAAGGTACCCACAGTACCCTCTAACTGATCTTGGATCGTTAGCCTAGAACGTCCTACGAGTCAGGAACCACTCTAGTATTATCTGCTCCGTTGCTACTAGAAGTTCCACCCGAATCAGCGACTTTAGTCGCCGATTACAGTCCATTAGTCCTTTATGTATAGATCTCCTATCGTAAACCAAATCGCACGGACTCGAAACTGTAACAGTCAGGGAGAACATAACATTTGTCCCACAAACATTTTGCCTAGGACCCAGTAGAGACATAGTTTTTACCAAAAACAAACAAAACCAAGATGTAATGAGCACGATTACCGAATCAAAAACTATATACAGATACTCTAAGTTTATATACTCATAGTCATGTCGCTCTAAAAATATCTTCCAGTAATTTACATAATTCGTACATAGGTGAGATTTTTGTTTTATTACTACTTAATTTCCCATTGTCTTTAACGTTTATCTCTGTTGAGTTGACTCTATCTCTTCCTCACAAAATACATTGGAGACAAGGTATTTATTAATCACTACGCTAAAATTTCGGCTTTTTGATTAGCCTATATTCAATCTCGGCTTTTACTTACTTAAAGCGACGCGCTTTAGTACAGCCACGTAGCGGTATTCGCTTTCGTTCGTACGGACAGTGTTATGTATATTCGCATTAAACATAGAATAATAACTCATACAATTACAGGTACTTTTATTTATTATGGTCATAATATCCGTCTATTATAGAATAATAAAATACAGAATTTTAGTTTTGGTCTTATAAGAAAAATTAAACCTCCAACTATGATCGGTCGCGTATGGAAACTATGAGAGTTATCCTTTTTTTAAAAATCCAATTGAGTTGTTACTATTTATGGACATATTATATAATTTTATCCTAACAAGTAGTATGGAGGGCTATGTTGAAGGAACTCAATAAACATGATCAGTACTCCGCTTTGATTAATTCTGTGTGTGCCTATAGTGACTTATCGACAAAACATAAGCGCGCCTTCTCAAGACGACACAGCGTTTTAGATGGTATAAGTCATCCTACACACCCACGGTTATCACAAAACATACACATAACACAATAAAAAATTTGAGTATTTATCTACGTCAAGCTGCACGGTAATTGTACCTACAACAATCACTGAATGTAAAAAAATACTATACGCCAACTATATACAACACAGCCAACTCACAAACACACCTACTTTTCCCCTCGGCCAACCATGCAGTGGGGTGGTTTGTGAACTACCTCTCTGAAAGGTCCCAATGTGTTCACTTTGATGGGCTGTCTTCTGAGTGGTTAAACATTGCTAATGGTGTTCCTCAAGGTTCTGTTTTAGGTCCACTTTTATTCTCCATATATATAAACAGTTTAGGTGAAAATGTGGATGAAGCTACTTTACATTTCTATGCGGACGATACGGTGATGTACTGTGCAGGTCCCTCCATTCAGGAGGCGGTTGTTAAATCACAGGCTGGTTTTTTAACATTTATTCAGACTCAGCTCTCTGAACTAAAAGCTTCTTTTAAATGTGGATAAAACCAAGATAATGCTCTTTTCAAAAGCTAAAAAGACACCAGAGCCTGTTTTAGATATTGTATCAACGTAAGGAACAAAACTTGAAGTTGTTGCCTGTTACAAATACCTTGGTATCTTGCTTGATGACTGTCTCTCTTTTAAACTTCATGTCAATAACCTGCTTAAAAAACTGAGGGTTAGGCTAGGTTTCTTTTTCAGGAATAAGTCCTGTTTCTCGCTTGAGGCCAGGAAAAGGCTAGTCACTGTGACTTTTTTACCTGTGCTGGACTATGGTGATCTGATGTATATGAATGCACCTGCCAACTACCTGAGCAAACTAGATGCTGCGTATCATAGTGCTCTGAGATTTGTCACAAATTGTAAAGCACTTACTCATCACTGTACACTGTATACCAAGGCAGGTTTACCATCACTCACTGTACGGAGGCTCAGTCACTGGTACACTTTTATCTATAAAGCTATGTTGGGCAAACTCCCGTATTATATCTGTTCATTGATAAAGCAGAAAGTTGCAAGCAGCTATTGTCTGCGATCGCAGGATATAGTCTTGTTAGATGTGCCAAGAGTAAGGACTGTCTTAGGGAAGTCAGCTTTTATGTGCGCAGCTCCACTTGCTTGGAACAGTCTACAGGCAAAATTGAAATTGAGCATTTTTATTTCTCTGAATGTATTTAAGGCACGTCTAAATGAAATGCTTTCTGACACTCTGGGTATTTGTAAATGTTGAATATGTAAATAGGATATCCTCTGTTGTTTGTTTGTTTGTTGTTTTTATGTTTCATGTGGAACTAAATGATGCAGATCTCCCTTGTAAATGAGATCGATGATCTCAAGGGACCAATCTGTCTAAATAAAGGTTTGAAATGAAATGAAGATTTGAAAATTGTGACTGTGACAAATGAAAATGAAACTTCTGTATGAAGTTTATTACACAAACTATCATTGTGACCATCCTTCAGAGTCTACAGGTGAAGTGTAAATAATGTTTTAAGAATATTACTATTTTTTACTAGAGCTCATTTTCTTAAAGGTCCCATATTGTCAAATGTAAGATTTAAAAAAAAATGTTAACTAGATCTATGTGTCAATCCATGGAGAAATACACACAGCACTCGAAAACCTTGGTTTTAAACAAGCTGTGAGGTTGTGATGTTACACCAATACAGAATAGATAGAGAGTGCTCCCAGCTGCATGTCTGCACAAAGGGG